CATAGAGCAATTCAAATAAAAATATAATAAAAATGAGTAAAACGAAATAGACAAAACAGCCGCCATACTTGGAGATTCGAGCCCATTTTTTTTAATCCAAGAACAAATGGGAGAATCGGGGAGAATTTTGGGTCCATACTGACGATGATTTCTTGGAGGGGAGGGGAGGGGGGACCTGAAAACCCGTGGTGATGGTAGGGCTTGATTGAAGGGGTGGTGAGGTCGCCTCTGCCTGTTGGTCCACTGCCTGGCTATATAAATTGTCCAGGGCTGGGTGAGTGAGTTTGGGTGGAGGTGTGTGTGGTGGATGAGGGATGGCGCTTTGGGTGAAGAGGTGGTGTGGGTGTGGAGGGGTGGTGTGGCAGGTGGGTGAGGCGGGTGGGATGGCAGGTAGGTGTGGCAGGCGGGGGGTGGCAGGTAGGTGTGGCGGGTGGGGTGGCAGGTGGGTGTGGCGTGACAGCTAGACAACACCTGGCTGGGCCGCCAAACAGGTAGCTCACACAGTCAAGAGAATTGCACGCCCTACCTTCGTGACGGGTTAGGTGGGCCCCAGTCCTAATGGTTTGATTTAGTTAAGGCGTTACAGGACTGGGCCCCAATACTGTTACGTTAAATTGGGGCTCATTAAAACTGGGGCCCCAATACTATTAATGTTGAATTGGGGTTTATTAGAACTAAGACCCATGTGAGTTAGAACCTCCGTCGCCCGCCCGTGTACTTAGTGGCTGTTGTGACATTAAGGTGGAAAACTCCTCCTTGGACCCGACAACTATACAGTGTTCAAGTATCGTTTATAAACATGGGATTTTTTTGTGTATATTCAAACACAATATCAACAACATAAGTGCCCTCTGAAAGTGACATTTGGTAACCATGATGTGTATAATACCGATACCAATATTCCACTAATCTAGATAACATTAATAAAACTGGAATCTATCAGTATTAATTACAAGTATATAACTAATGGTGTATGATATGTGACACGGACACCAAACCTGAACCATGGTGTGTTATAGTGAGTAAACACTGCACCCACACCCGCGTTCCTTGAAGGTGTGTCAGTGTACGGTAGCTGGAAACACGGGTGTCTAGGAATAATAATCAGTGAAGTGAAGGGTTTTAGCTCATTCCCCACGAATGAGGATGGCAGCGGACCCCGCCAGTGGGCTGCTCGACCAAGACATCCTGCAAGACCACTACATCATCTCCAACAACTTCAATGGTGAGTATAGCGAGTCCTGCCTTTGTGGGTGGTGACGACGATCTCTCTCTCTCTCTCTCTCTCTCTCTCTCTCTCTCTGTATATCTCAGGAAATCCGGTTCATTGTCTTATCATGTGAATTATCAGTATTAATGAAGATAACTTGGTATGTACTGAAAATGAATGACTTGACTACATTATTTTTAACGAAGGTAAAAGGTTGACTTTTATTAATCTTACGTAAAGAGGAAATTTGTAGTTCTCAGCTGTGACTTAGACAATTGTAAAAAGGTGAACTGTTTAGTGAGAATGTACCCATTGTTTAGTGGCATGAGGCTCACATGAAGATAAGCCCCCCAGGTTATTTCGCAATAGACTAACCACCCTAACTCAACCTTAACCTCCCCAGGGAGTGTTGGAGTGTTTAATCATCAGATACAATAAGCTGGGGTGCTAATCTTTATATACATGATGTACCTTATAAATATTAAGAGAGCCATTATAGTTAGATTAGGGTAATAATATACTTCTCCCCAGCTCACCCCCCTCCTCCCCCAGGTTCTCCTCCCCCAGGTTCCCCCCCTCCCCCAGGTTCACCCCCTCCCAGTTCACCTCCCCAGTTCTTGCCTCACCCAGTTCCCCCTCCCCCCAGTTCACCCTCCCTTTGGTTCACCTCCCAGATCACCCCCTCCCCAGGTTCACCTCCCAGATTCACCTCCCCAGCTCATCCCTCCCTCAGTTCACCCACCCCTCAGTTCCCCCTCCTCAGTTCCGCCCCTCCCTCAGTTCACCCCTCCCCCAGTTCACCCCCTCCCCTCAATTCACCCCCTCCCCCAGTTCACCCCCTCCCTCAGTTCACCCCCTCCCCAGCTCTCCCCCAGCTCACCCCTCCCCAGTTCACCCCCCCTCCCCAGGTCACCCCTCCCCAGGTTCACCTCCCTCAGTTCACCCCTCCCCCAGTTCCACCCCCCTCCCCCAGTTCACCTCCCCAGTTCCACCCCCCTCCCCTCAGTTCTCCCCCTCCCCCAGTTCACCCCCCCTCCCCCAGTTTTACCCCTCCCCTCCTTTTCACCCCCTCCTCCCAGCTGTGTATGGAAGTATCTTTGGTCTTGGGGAACTGGATGGTGGTCGCGTTGCCCTTGTGTCCTGAAGGCTTGGTACTGTGCACAGTTAGTTTGTTGTTGTATCCGCCCCGAGCCGTTAAGGGAGATAACTGAGGGAGTGATACATTAAGGGAGAAGTACTGTGCTGTGTTGGAGGGAGGGAGGAAGGGAGGGGGTCAACTCCGCTCTCTGACACGGCCGATTGTGCGTGTCCTTGGAGGGGAAAACACACACACACACACACACACACACACACACACACACTAATGTAGTTTTAGTGTTTGGGATGATGAGGGAGTGTGATGGGAGGTAGGTAGTATGGAGTGGGGAGTAGGTACCGGTAGTGTGGAGTGGGAAGTAGGTACCGGTAGTATGGAGTGGGGAGTAGGTACCGGTAATATGGAGTGGGAAGTAGGTACCGGTAATATGGAGTGGGAAGTAGGTACCGGTAGTATGGAGTGGGGAGTAGGTACCGGTAATATGGAGTGGGGAGTAGGTACCGGTAGTATGGAGTGGGGAGTAGGTATCAGTAGTATGAATTGGGGGTAGAAATATCAGTAGTATGGGTGGGAGTGGAGTTTCAGTAAGTATGGGTGGAAATTGGGTACTGTTATCGTTGGGGAGTAGGTGCCGGTAGTATGGGTGGGGAGTAGTCACCGGTGGTATAGATTGGGGAGTGGAAGTTACCGTGGTATGGGTGAGGGAGTGAGTGCCAGTAATATAGATTGGAAGTAGGTGCCATTAATATGGAGTGGGGGGTAGGTACCCGATAATATGGAGTGGGGAGTAGGTATGGTAATATGAATTAAGAATTAGATGCCGTAATATTATAGATTGGGGGTAGATGCACCATTAATATGGGTGGGGAGTAGGTACCGGTAATATAGATTGGGAGTAGGTATGATGGGTGGAGTGGTTTGATAATACTGGGGTAGGTACCGGTAATATGGAGTGGGGAGTAGGTACCGGTAGTATGGAGTGGGGAGTAGGTACCGGTAATATGGAGTGGGGAGTAGGTACCGGTAGTATGGAGTGGAGTAGGTACCGGTAGTGTGGAGTGGGAAGTATGGATTATCGTGGAGTGGAGTAATAGAAATGCAAGGCATATAGTGTGGTGTGTGTGTGTGTTCCACTTGTTTGCTTGTGTTTGGGGGGCAGGAGAGTACTGTTTGGGGGCAGGAGATCTCAAATTCCCAATTTTTAATGGCATAGACTGCTGTTTAACAAAAACTATGGCGTAGATATGACCGCCTCCTCCCCCCCCCCCTCACCTCTCCACGTGTAGGTCTGGAGTGATGGAGACTGACGGCCTCACCTCACAGATTAAAGGGCACTGTTCAGTGGAATCGGTTCTTGCCGGGACATCTCGGCCCAAGTTTGATTTATTTATTGATTTTATTTTTTTGGTGTGTGTGAAAATAACTTGGGTAAATTGTTGACCAACTAAAAATATTTTTATTTATAATAAATAAATCTTGGTATTATAAAAGTTAAAAGTAAGTCCAGGTGGCGATAACATTACGATTAAATTTCGCGGCCTATGATTGATTGTACGTGATAATGACGAACTAAGCTTTACGAAAAATTATTTCATCAAAATTTCTTACCCTGTCTCTCACTGTTAGTATCTCCGAAAAATAATTTTTCATCCTTTTTCGTTTCAGCAGAAAAATCAGCGTTGTTTTGTTGTAGACTAATATAAAGAAGAATAGGCGAAATATGACCATGTAAGTTGGGCCAACAATGTTCTACGTTTTCTATAGCTGGAGCATGATTCTACAGTGCAGCCTCGCTGATTTTACAACTCTTCATTGGGTAACTCTTCCTCTAATGGTTAACTCTTATAAACTTCAACATTTCTCGAAAGTGAACTTCAAATTATTTTATTCCATCTACATATTTTGTTATGTGAGCGAACCTAAAGTTTTATTTTTTATTTTTCATGGCATTGTGGGTTCCAACTGATGTCATGCGAGCTAAATATGGGTAATCATTTAATTAAGCATTAATCAGCAGTTGACGTTTTTTGCTATATAAGCGTAACTTTTGGTTGTTAAAAGAAAACCATTATTATTAACATACTGTAAAATTTGCTGTTTGATTGAAGATGTTTACCATAATAACCGAACTATTCCTAATTAGTTATGGCAATGTTAGGCGGGTAATGATGCTCTTCATTTACTGTGGTAGCCCACCCTCAGAGGTGAGGACGGTACTCTTGATTGATTGATCATGTAATAACATGATCGTCACTATATTCTTATACAGATCATTTCAGCTTTTCGAATTAATAAGCTGCATTTTGGCATTATCCTTTGCGCACATACAATGCCGTGATCCACAAACATCATCTTTAGTGCTTATGTCAGCAGCAGCCACTACAGTATATTTGTTTTGTTCCTATTTCTATTTACAGTATACTCGTATAATTTTATACTGTACTGTGTTGTCTATCAACAACGTTGGGTGTTACCTGACGTAAGTGCAGGTTATTTAATCAAATTGTCACCTCAAGCCGGTGCTGCCGGCGACACCAACCGTACTTTTATTGCATCACTCTTGTCCTGTTGCCTGCCTATTAATTTAATGCTTTCTAACACTGAAGTTACGTTGACAATGTATTTGTATGATTTTGATACAATTGTGTTGGCGTAACTAAATTATGTTAATTAGTTTTAGTGAAGGCAACTTACGATTCTGCGGGGAAGTTTCCTTATAATAATATAGTTGGGGCTACAGGCATCAGCCAAAGTTATCATGCAAGTCGACGTCTGCTAGAGTAGGATCATTTAGTAACTGGTAACGCAGTTGGCTGAGGTTGATGCTTGTTCAGCTTGTTTTTGCCTCTGTACGCTGACTACTGCTCTCACCACGTGCTCAACAAGAGCGGTGTTAGAAGAGTGTAATTTCCTCACTGCACGCGGATCACACGTCTGGAGGACACACCAAAACCACACAACCACTGGCTGAGGAAAATGAAGCTAGCGGCAGCATTCATACATTTGGCACATGGTCGGGATAGTTGCCAAGTTGGGGATACCTGTCTCACTTCATCCTTCATGCTCTTAATATTTTTTTTTTAATTGGATTACATATAAGAGGTTCTGTAAAGGTACTGTTATTTATGTTAACATTGCAGTGTTTGTCTGTTTTTTATAAGCATAATTTGTCACGATATTTTTATTCGGAGTAGATTATCAAGGTCTGGCAACAGTGTGTGCTCCTGCCCCTGTCGATGCTGGCCCGTCTGGGTTATAAAATTCTCCTAATGCAGACCATTTGTATTTAACACATTGAAACCTGTATCAATACACTTTTAAAATGAAGAAATATGAAATATGAAATTAATGGGTAGATTTGTAGTTTAACTTTAGAGGAACAAATACATTTATGTAATCGTACAGAGACGTGACCGATCGCCCAAGCGGCTAACGAGCCGATCAGTGGTGACAAGGATAAAAGAAAAAAAGCATATCATTTCCGGCTCCGCCCCCATAAAAAAAAAAAAAATTATTTCACCTTCTTTTATAAAAAATGTGAGAGCCAGTCACGTATACATTTATGTAACAATCTTTTGAAATCGCAAACTGATTCATACGTGGTAGATCGATGAGACTTAAACAGTGTTGGTACAGGAGGTAGGGTCATGTCAAGGTAGGTAGATTCCAGGTAGCCTCACGCAGGCCCATAACTGGTTGACTTAAAAACTATGGCCCAAACATAATTTAAAATAACACCGAGACTACTGGATGTTCAGTTAACCTGGGACGCACCCAGTAATTGGGTAGGGGGTGGGTTCCAAATATTTCTTATCACTCGCCTGCATCACCATCTCTCTACTCAGCCATGTTTGGTTGATTTGTGAGACTGACGCTGATAATTACCTTGGGAACAATTTTCCATGCTATATTTCACTGTGTTGTTCTGGCGGTGTTTACAGTAGGTACTACTAGTGTTTGTCAGGTTAGATTAAATTGGGTTACATAAAATATTTTTTAAGAGGAAATGTTCAAACTTAATCTATAATCAGGGTTGGAACAAAATAATAATTGATTAATGATAAGACACTACTGTATATTAAATCATGCCATAAATATCATTAATTTATTAAACCACAAAAAATATAACATTTAAATACAAATGAGAAACCATGAAAAATGACATATATAGTATATGAAGTCCAATTCCAAGTTCTTACGTCCATATTTTTACTTTTATCCTCTTCGTCACTGATCGGCTCGTCAGCCGCTTGGGCGGTCGGTCGGTCAATTCTCTAGTACCTTGAGCTGTGACCCCTTGTGGGGCGGACGTCCGCCAGCTCCGGGTATGTACGGTAGCTAAAACAACTATCTATGCAGGTGGGGGTCTCATAGTGTTTCCCACAAAGTATGCACAGATAGTTGTTTTAGCTACTGTACATTCCACCGAGTAGTGCCCCCTGAGATGTTTTTATACTTCGAATAGGTCGCCCCTTGACTGTCTGTAGTATAAGCTCCGTAGTTGCAGGCGCTCCATCTCTCTGAGTAACTGAGGTTCCGTAGAGCAGGCACCAGTCTGGTGGCCCTCTTTGGACATTTTCAGCAGTACAGTACTGTATAGAAGGCATATAAAGACAAAACAGTAAATTAAACTTGAATTTAATTTAAAAATACCAAGATTTTAAGTTTTGATAGAAAGAATTACTTAGAAATTTTATGCCCGGCCTTACTAAGATAAAAGTAAATTGATAGCTGATCACATAATAAAACACTGAACACTAAAGAAATTATCATACTGTACAGTACTGCAAAAAAATTCTTAATTCAAAAGAACTTTAATTATTTTGCAAACTAAAATACTGTATAATTAACTGGCAATATTCCTGATAATTTCATAGAGCAAGGGGCAGGCATATTGTTATGCCGAGGCATAATTTCGTATTATCATTTGGTATACTAGGTGTTTTAAGAACATAAGAAAATTAGGAGTCTGCAATAGGCCGGTTGGCCTGTGCATGGCAGCTCCTGTCGAGAGTTACTACCACTCTATCATCCATGAGTTGATGTAATCGTGAGGTTTACTATTTGTATCAGGATCAGTATTTAGAGAAGTGTGTCATCATGGATAGTGGGAGTGTAACATTGGTACCCAACACATTAAGTGGAAGAATGAATCTCATCAGTATGGGAGCATAACTACAAAAAAATATATATATATTCGAAACTTTATATAAATAAATAGCCTTAAAAGTTCTCTTATCGATCGACTGCATATATACTCGTATAAGACCACATGTGTTACACTCATATTTATACAAGAACACTTGTGTCTACTAACACACACACACACATTCAGAGGCAATAAGTTGTAGAGTGGTAACAGAGACACTTCGCCTGGCAACCCTTCTAGGTCTTCAGAACACACCCTCCCCCTAACACTCGCCCGTCCAAGTCTCTAGTATACATTTTGTATGTTTAGTTGAGTAATAGTATTTAAGGAGAATGTTTTGCAGGTGTTTGGGATCTCTTAATATATTTCAACTTGTGTTTAGAATGTACTGTGGACAAATGGGTCTGACCCCATTTTCCAAACTAAACCTAAGCATAAGACAGATCAGAGGAACATTAAAAATGTTGGGAGGTTGGTAGAGTGGAGGAGTGTTGTAATATGGAGGAGAGGGAGAAGCAGACGTCAGCAGGGACACACTGCTCCAGCAGGTGACACTGTGTCCTACACTCAGCAGGGCTTGTCTTGTACCTGGGTTGCGGGGAAGAATATTGATGTAGGGAAGTCAGGGCATGGGTGTATACTACCCTTTGCACTTGAAGATCTACAGGTTGTATAAGGAAGGGATGCCGGGTTCAGGGTGAGTTTCTAATAATGACTGAGAGGAAGGAGGGAGGAAGTTGTTGGCGTGTGGTGTTTCAAGAGTGGTGACAGCCATTCACACAAGCAGCTGAATACAATGGAGGATCCAGAGGTCTTCTTGATCCCCCTTAAGAACCCCCCCCCCACTAGAAAGATTTCGAAACCTGTAACCCCTTCATTTTATAAGACGTATTTTGACGTAATCTGAACCATTTTGATGATTTTGTTATGTCTTCAGGTACATCAACCTGAAGTACAGTAATCTGGTAAGTGGGTGGAAACGACACAACATGGAAGGTGTTAGGACACTGATAACATATTTATATAGTGGTCACTCGCTGCACCAACAGACATACAGTAGCTACAGCTTTTAAATGGCATTATCATAATAATAGTTACAGGAAAAAATTCATAATATCTAGAGCAATTCGTGAAAGGGACTGCATGTGTGTGTGTGTGTGTGTCATCTGCATACCGAAGCTCTGTAATGGAAGCTGCTGACACCTTTGTTCCTACCTGGAGTCGTCTTATGTTGAAAAGACCTTTCATCTGGTACTCGATGTCCCCCCGCCTGCTAAATTAGCACTGGCACGAGTAAGGAAGGCAGCCAAGAAAAATGGAAAAGAGAGTAGGTGCCAGTACACATCCTTGTTTTACCCCTGTTTGGATGGGGAAGAACTCAGACTGGGTGCCATTGTGCAGGACACTGCCGTTAATGCTATCGTGGAGTTGCCTCACAATGGCGATGAATTTTGGTGGGCAGCCAAAAGGGCTGAGGGTCCGCCAGAGGTCTTCCCTGTTGATGGAGTTGAAGGGCTTGGTTAGGTTGATGAAGGCCATGTACAAGTCATGACGCTGTTCTCTGCACTTTTCCTGTATCTGGCGGGCAGCAAAGATCATGTCAGTGGTGCCTTACCCTTGTCGCTCGCACTGAACGCGACCTACAGGAGATCCTGAACACCTACGCAGATGCTTATGCACACTTGGCCTTAACGTGAATGTAAGTAAGACTTGGATATTCTTTCAGCCTGCCCCTGGTTCAGCCACACCTCCACCATTCATCCAGCTTAACGGTACTACCCTCTCTAATGTTACTCACTTTCGGTATCTCGGCTCCCTCCTGTCCACCACCGCGGACATCGATGAAGAGATTCAACATCGGATCAGATGTGCATCTCAAGCCTTCGGCTGACTCCGAATCTGTGTCTTCAGCTGTAGGGAGCAGTGGTCCTCTCCACTCTGCTATATGGCAGCCAGACATGGGTCACATACAGGAGGCACCTCAAGGCACTTGAAAACTTTCACTAGCATAGTCTACGTTCCATCCTCCTAGTTCACTGGGAAGACAAGAGAACAAATGGCAGTACAAGTATTCTCGCTGACACCAACTGTAAAAGCATCGAGGCTACCATTATCCATAATCAACTATGCTGAACTGGCCATGTTACCTGCATGGACGACAGTAGACTGCCAAAGCAGCTACTTTACCTAACGAATAATAAATGTAACGCTGGCATGCAACTGAAAAGGTAAAAGGATAGTCTTTAGACAAACCTGAAAAAATGCCAAATCGACCCCCTCACCTGGGAGACTATTACTCCACACCGTAATGCTTGGAGGAGCACTACATGAGGGTGTCAATACTTTTGAGTTAGCCCCACTGCATACCGAGGCAGACAAGTGCCAAACCCGGAAAGATGCTACTGCCGCCCCTCCCACGCTAGATGTAGCCCTCCACCTGTGCACCCTTTGTGAACTATCCTTCCAGTCCCGTATCGGCCTCTTTAGTCACCTCAGAACTCGCCAACGTAGGTGACATCCTTAATAACTATTATCATTGTATCATGCTGGATGATCGTCATACTCGATTCCGAGTGACAGCAAAGTAGTAGTAGGTGTGTGTGTGTTCTGTAGGCGGAGCTGTAACCACTGTTTATAATGTGCAAGTTGTTTAATTAGTTTGTGAAAACCAATGTGCTTAGATCATACTCTTACTTTCAATGGCCTTCTTGGACTATCCTTGACGTATCGACTTAGTTTATCAATACTGTATTTGTATAGCTATACTGTCTGTGTACTTTGTTTTTATACCTGTTCTGTCTCCTAGATGGATAGATATAGATAAAGA